GGATTTCAGTTAGCTGGCAAGCGGCAAGCACAAAAACCACCACTAACCACTGACACCAGCACCACACAACACAACACACTGTGCCACCCACGTCAGAAACCACGGAATGAGTGGCACTTGCAAGTGTGGTGTTTATGTTCCATACATCAGGGGTTTATGGGCTAAACGTTTATGTGTCTGGCAACAACAAGCTTTTAAAGGGTTTCCACATACACACACACACACACATATTACACACAGACTTACGACAATATGGGGATGGAGGGAGGTTAGTCGATGCTGACGCCACTTGAAATTTCACTTACACCCATCCCTCCACTTTTTGTGTGCCTGTCTCTGTGTGTGCCACAGTTGACGTTGCACACTTCGTTGACTCCCAAAAGACGCCCACACTCAAAATGGTTGACCTCGGTCGCCACCCCAGAACACCCCGCTCCCCACCCCCACCAGCTAAGACGGGGGAAGGAGGAGGAGGAGGAGGGTATTACAAAATGTATTTTATCTTCATCGATTGGCAGAATTTATATCTTTTTTCATGCCACATCAGCGTTTTATATACACATACATACACACATACATATGTACATATCGAAAGAGAGGAATAAAGATTTAGTGGAGCTGTTTCCCCCTGCCCAGCAAAGTGAGTTGAGGTTATGTGCTGACAGCTAGAAGTACCAACATATGCATATCCTCGATGGCTGAGAGATAAATCAGCTGTGCACCCAGCAGCAGATGATTACATGGGGATGAAGTTGTAAGGCACGTCGCGCTACTAGAAAAAGATGTACAGGGATATACATACACTATACACTATACATATGTATGGACCACACAATATAAACTGCCATATTATGCAAATCAATATCAATGGGTAGAATGGTAGAAGATGAATGAACATTGTGGAAACAGTTGGATATGTTTATGTGAAGCATGATTGGCGAAATCTTAATAGCGCTTTCTCTTAGCATACATATCCATAAAAATGTTTGAGCTGTGCCATAATAACTATTGGAAATAAAATATAGACATATGTATGTATAAAGTTTGTCTCATTTTCCAGTGTAATCAGAAAGTTGCTTAAATATCTGAAAATTTTCTTACTGATGTGGTAGTGAATTTGCATTTTATATCCATGTTAATTCATCCCTCTACCGATAATACTGAATATTCAAGCCTCAAACCAGAAATCATTTCATTTCGAATTTAATTTTTTTCCAATTTACATAAATTTACATATATGTACGGATATATGTATGTGTATATGTAGTTCTTCTCCAGCATTGGCACTCCCCATTTTATGAACCTTTCAACTTGCAATCATGTTTGCCAATTATGCAAATGATGATGCGACCCACTGTGCGTGCAGGCAGAGTCACTGTGGGGCATAGCTGGGTAAATACTCTGCAAACACTTGGCTTCGTGTTTACCACAATTTACTGCGACTCGAGTTAACACAAACACACACACACACGCACACACAAAAAGCAGTGGGAGAGAGAGAGAGGGGGAGAGATAAACCTGGGGCTCTAGCAAAAATAAATGCACATTTTTGCCCACAATTTCCTGGAAGCAAGGGAAAAAGAGTGACAGAATGTGAGAGACGCAGGGCGGTAGTGGGGCAGTGGGGTGTGGGGCAGGAGAATGCGAGCACAATAAACTGAAAGGAAGGCAAGGGTCGGTGGGGGTCGGTGTAGGTCGTAGCTTGCCACAAGCCAAATATGTCTGTGTCTGGGCTCGACTTCCCTTCTACCCCTTCCCTGGTTCATTCATTCCCCCACAATTTCTCGTTCGCTTTATCCACAGTCTTGCCATCTCTTGCCTTCATTCTTTATGTATGAATATCTGTGTGTCTGTATGTTTCTGGAAAGTGTGGCAATAAAAAGGATAATGTAACTGTTATTCTACGCAAAACGGAAGCAAACGAGGGAACGCGGCAGGAGTGTGCTGCAAGTGTTTGAAATATTTCTGTGGCAAAGGTGGCAACTTGGGCCCAACAACAAGATGTGGCACAAGTAAAAAGCACAACCAAAGGCTGCAACAACAGCAAAAAACAAAGTTGGGTCTGGGCCTTGTGGTTGCACATTGGAGGAGTGGAATGGAGTGGAGTGGAGTAGCGTGGTAGGGTTGTGGCAGGAAGAGGATGCGGTGCTGGGGAGTCCTTTGCTGAGTGACTGACTGAACAAGTGGCAACGAGGAAATGACTGCCTTGTGGCACCGGAGGGGAGGGGTGGGCCACCTCTGACAGAAGTCAGAGAGCGTACGAAACGAAACGAAACCAAACGAAACGAGACGAGACGACACGAACAAAAGTGCCAAAGAGCGAAGCCGGAAAATTGTGTGGAAATTTGAGCTTCTTTTGAAATTGAGGCCGGAAATGACACCCACACGTCCCACTTTGGGAGAGAGAGAGAGAGAGATCAAGCACAAGCAAAAGAGAGAAAGCACAAACAGACAGACAGACAGACAGACAGACGTAGTGAAAAAATGAGGGAGTACAGTGAGAAAGTAAGAGAGAGAAAAACAGAGAGAGAGGGAGAGAGAGTAGGAGAGTGATGTCTGTCCTGTTTCTGTTGTTGCTGTTGTTGTGTTAAGCAAAATGTTTGCGGGTGCAATAAGCGTAAATTCAGTGGTTTTATGTTTACTTATTCAACTCCTACATAACCAACCAACCACCTCCCTCACGGAAAACCACCTCCGCTTCTGGGCCCTCTGTACTCCCTCCATGGGGCACAACTTCATTTTATTGGGAACAGCGTAGTAGGAGGCAGCTGCTACAGGAGCAACGTACCGCACCGCACCCCCCTTTCGGGTGGCAATATACTTTTTGCAAATCGATGCCAACTCCTTAAACGGTGGGTGGGCTGGGGCTGGGCTTGGGGTTGGGTTTAGGTTTGGGGCCGTTTTTGGGGGCGCTCTGGCACTGCTGCTGCTGCTGAAGGAAGCGTGTGGCATGCTGAATGGGTCTTGAGTGTTTTCGTATGGTTGACAGGATAACACGGAGTAATTCAATTCGAAATACTTTATGCTGTTGCTTTTATTATTTGTGCTTTCTCGTTGGATCTCCCTATTCCTATTCCTATTCCTATTCCTCTCTCTCGCTCTCTCTCTCTCTCTCTATTTCTCTCGTTATTTATTTGCCACTTCTCCTGCTCCTGCTTTACGGATTGCTGTTGTCGGAAGTGGCATTTGTAGGTGGTTTCTGGGAATCTAGTAGTATGTGTTTGTGTGTGTGGTGGGGGGTGGAAGCACTGAGCCAGGGGGTAGCTGCATAAACAAGCACACACACACACACTCACAGAGTGGGGGGAGCAGGCTCTATCTGTAGCTGTATGTTTTGTGGTTTCTCTGTTTATTTATTTTTATGATGTTTCCTTTTTGGCATTTTATTGAAGAAGTTTACCGACGCCATTGCTCTTGCATATATAAGTGAGAGGTAGGGTGAATGAGTTGGCAGAGACAGAGAGGTGGAACGGGGTGTGCTAACAAGCACACAAACCCCCTCCCTCCCAACACAAGACTCACCCACTCCGCCTTATTGCAATTCATAAAAAATCAATATTTATTACAACAGCTAGGAGTGGTACATGCGCCCCTTCCCCGACCCGCTACTGCCCCCCACCATCCTCCCTGTGCTGTGATTGGGCATTTAATCAGTTGATTTCTTATTCTAGTTGAGGTTTTTTTTCTCCATTTATTTTCTTTGCTTTTATACTGGGAAATGCAATTAGAGAAGCTTTTTCCGAGATTGCTCTGCCACAATGGATGTGGAATTGGTTTGTAGGTACTCCAGTATTCTATTGTATAGCGTTTTCTAGCGCTATGTGCGAGTGGTGTGTGTGTGTGTGTGTGTGTGTGCACCCTTAGGCAACCTCGGATCGGAAATTTTTACTACTATTTGTGCATTGCAAACATCTAGTAAAAATCTTAGTACCCTCTGCAAGGGTACACAACAAATTCAGAATAGTTAATAAAAGTCCCAAGTGGAAGAATATCATTTTTTCTAATTTGTTATAACAATAAACTCCACTAAAACTAATCAAAATATTAAATATCAAAGGATTTTAAGCTGTGCTCAAGTCTATTGGTATGTGGTGGTGTTTCCAGAAATCTTCTGTAGAGGGACCACCTTTAATAAGTAGTCACATCGGAAATGGCCCTGGAGAAATGACAGGAAAAATGAAAAGAGAAGCTCTTTTCTCGTTTACTCTAGTGGGATGGGAGAGCTTATGATTCCATTGGAATATACCAACATTGCCACGTTTTTATGTGTAGCAGTTATTGGTAGACAATAATTCACATTCAATTAACCGAGAGCAATTTATTGAACCGATTCCTTCCTGTTGTAACCTTTAAGTATTCGCTAGCCTGTATGTGTGCTTATTTTCTGTACGCAATTCAAAGAATAAAACATAAATGATGACTTTGTTCACAAAACCCTTCCTTTATTAGTTCTATGTCATTTCCCAGTTACACAAAACAAGCAATTAATAATTTTCCAAATGGCGAAAAGTTTGAAACGAATTTACCTACTAAACGCGTGTCATTGTCGAGACGGGACGAGTGCACCACATGCAGATAGCTGCAAATGCATTGAACAAATCCAACAGAGGGGGAAGCCACTGAACTGATTCCCCACAAATGCTCAACTCTCTTGTGGCAAAATACAAAATAATCTGCAAATGTTGCACCGCACTGGATACCCCAACGCTAACCATGCCATCCAATATGTCGTGCGGCCCCACCAATATACCCAAGCCACCCCCTGAACCGGGTTCCTCTATGGAGGGCGGGTGCTAAACGACCCGGGACCGAAAGAACTGAGCAAACCGAGCAGGAGAACGCTCAACGCTCAGAGTTAAGTGAAACCAATTGAGATTTATTGACGTGAATTGGGTTTCACTTGAACCTGCTCGCCCCGGGGCGCTTGAGGAGCCCCTCGCATTACCAGAACCAGATCGGATTCCCCCAGCTTGTAGCCACATAGGCGCACAGACACTTACCTTCTTTTGACTTGTCGTACTGCTTGGGCGACGTGGTCTTCTTGCCTGGCACGGGCCTCAGTGCATTGCTGATGAGCTGTGGGTGGGGATAGGAATATAGACATTAGGCTTAGTGAGGCACTTGAGGGTTAGTTTGCCACTACCCTCTCCATCTTTGTTCTACTCACAATGCGATCGGAGCGTTCGCCGCAGGGCAGACGTGCCACTGCGGACTCGGGACTGTCCTCCGGTGGCGGCGGCTGGGGCACCCAATTGTAGGCCCGCCTAGATATGGGCACCCCGAAGCGATCGTGCTGCGAGGCCTGTTGTCTGTGGAAAGGAAACGAAACACATTTCAATAAGTTGGGCTGAACTTCACATCTGAACATATTTGCACTCTGATCTCCCACCTTAAGCTCTCGTAGCAGTCGAGGCAGACCACGGCATACTCTCCATTCTCCAGCAGCAGTCCGTCGTCGCTTTTTTGGTGCTTCACAAAGGGAAACTCGTTGACGGGCAGGGCTCTCACCCGTTTCCTATAAGTCGTAATGCCGCACAGATGGCAGTTGTAGTCGTGCCAATTGTATTTACGTTCCGCCGGATTCACGCTTGGACTTTGCGCCTCATATCTGTCAGGCAATCGGTAAACAATTATGAAATATTCTCTGTATAGAATGCGCTGGGTTGACTCACTTGCGCCACTGATTCAACATGGAATGATAACAGAAAGTGCAGACCAAAGCCGAATTGTTCCTGAGCTGCTCGGCATTCGGCAGAGAATTGTGTTTCAGCAACAGTGGAAAATAAGGACGTGAACCCTGAAAAGATATACAGAAATCAGGTGAGTTCTTTATAACCGTGAATATGTGAATTAATTACTAAAAAGAGTAGCCAAACTTTAAGAAATCTACGACCATCTTATCATGTGCTTAAGATTTCTATGGTTATATGTACAACATGTTGTATGAGTAATATGGTGCCTATTTAGATGAATTAAAAATCCAAAAATTGAGCATTTCCTTTCATTGATTGTCGAAAGGAATCTAACATAAAATATTATAAAATAAAAACTGAACGACACTCAAAGAAAACCAAAAGAACACTTCAAGATTCAGAAAGAACGAAGAAGATAAATATATAATTAAATGGGTTATATTGTTATGTAATGCACCTAGCGTGACATATTTATAGTCTGATATATACACAGTATGTACGCCATTCCAGGGCAGCTATCTAAAACAATCGTATAACATTTGATCCCTCTATCTAATCACCTCTAATGGATACATCAAGAGTGGACTATTATTATCTATATTGATTGACATCGTTTGGGGTTGGGGTGGGTTGGGTTGGGAAATCCCTAACCACTTATCAGAAAATTACATGTTTGCCCAGCGATGTGTACCCCCCACAAATATTATGCATACACAAAATGTAATAACAGAATGTGACCCGAATCGAATGGGAAGGTCTTGGGTGCAGTGAAGCCGAAATATTCAATTACATAGCTTAATGTTTAACCCAAAGCTTAACCCAGTGCCTAAAATATGACTGATTGAGGTTTGTGTCAAATCAATTTGTCATAACTGCCTCAATGCAGTTTGGGGCCGTATTTTGATATCTTGTTGCCACTTAATCATTTCAAATAACTTTGAGACAATGAAGCACCTGCATTCAGAGTGCAATTCAAATATCTCGAGCAATTATCTGGCAGACAGCATACATGTCAGTCTTCCAAATATCAAATTCACTAATTCCGCAATTGTTTCATTAATTATACATTGATATGCGACAACGAGATTTAAAGCCAACTGCTCACAATGATTTCTATGGCAGATGTTAATCTTTGCGACCTTTAAATTCACCAACGGATTACAAACGGATTGGCGTAGGTTTCAGTGATTACGCACGGAATAATCTTGGGCCAAGAGCTTTCCGTAAATTAAAGCTCATTCTTCATTTACAAAATTCGACTATAATCCTATCTGTATACATAACTTCTTTAAGACTCTTTGTGCTCTTCCTTCAAATGTTAACTATGATCATTTGTATGGCAATGAACTAAATTTTATCCTTCTTCATATCCCTAAGTATTCTCTTCACTTATAATAGACTCTTTATGCACAAACTATCTCTTATGAGGCTCTACCTCCTTGCTGGCATAGAGGACTCTGGCCAGAGTGAGGTCCGAGTGAAGGCCGCAGAGGAAGCAATAGATTGATGTGCTGGCAGGCGTCGATGATGATATGGATGGTGTGGAGGGCGGTGTATTGATGCTCATGGCGCCGTGCCGAGATCCGTTCGGTGAGCTGGAGGTCAACATGGGCGAGGGAATGTTGTATCTGCAAGGGACAGTAAATTAAATCAATAGAGAACTCTTAAGGGAAAAAATTAAAAATGGTAAGGAAGAGAACCTTCTGTGCTCTAGGGGTACACGTTCGGCATCCATCGATTCCCACTGGCTGGCCAAGTAGTCCTTGCAATCCTTGCAGGCTAGCACGCGATTGCTGTTCAACTCGTTGTTGTTGTTGTTGTGGTTATTGTTGCTGCTGTTGCTATTGTTGTTGCCACTGCTGCTGCTATTGTTGTTAATATTACTATTATTATTATTGCTGGTAACGGCGGCGGCGGCGGCGGCATTGGCCTTGAGGCAGGGAAAGTGCATGGCATGGGAGTTCATATGCTCAGCGCTGGTAGACAGCCAATCCATTTTGTTAGACGGACAAAGCACTTTGCAAATGGAGCAGCTGCCACAAATGGAAGAGAAAAGTCAATTAAAGGATTTAAAAAAGAAACAAGAAAGAGCAAAAGCACTCACGGATACTGTCCATGGCCATTCTCGATGGCTCCCTGGCTGGAGCTGGGCGAATTGGGCCGGGAATCGCTGCGTCGTATCTGCTTGAGGTCGCGTGCCGTGTTCGAGTTGGAATTGTTCGAGTTTGTCTCGTAGGGCTATCAATGGAAGAGCAATGGGTGGCATGGAGTTATTAGAGATAATAGATTTTAGCTATTTATGTATTTTTTTTAAGAGTATCGCGCACAGACTGTCCCACCCAACTGGTATGGCAATCCCCAGGCGTGGGGCATCAACAAAAGGCAAACTTGTTCAACGTTATCTAATCAACGAGAAAAACGAACCGAATTTTATTAAATATTTTATACAATTGATTTGCTATTCAAGGAGTAGCCACTCGACTATGACTGGCACTGGACTGCGTCCGATTTGGCCGGTAGAACCGCCTTTAACCGGTCCGAACCGTATTCGGTTTCACTTATCTCCCTTCGATTTGCGACTTATATTTCCAGCTACAGAAAGAGAAAGGTAGAGACAGAGATAGAGAGTGCGATTGCGTGCAAGCCTACAAATCTCCTCCTCCAATCAAAAGTCTCTTATCTGCTTTGACGACTAATTACAATCACCGTTGGAGTTCAAAGTTGAGGCCCTCACAACGAAAGTGGATCAGATCACTTCACTTGTGGTTTCCCATATGCTGCTTCATGACATGGCTTCTTCTGATGTGTTGCAACACTGTCCAAAATTTGAATTTATAGTGGGCTTCTCGAGCATCATTCAAGTCAAAGTCAAAGCATGAATTATATTCATTGTTCAGTCATCCACTTCAACTAATTGTGGCAAGAGTTGTGGGAAGAAAGGGAACTCAAACAGAAAGCAGAATAGAAGCCAGAAATAGCCAAAACATGGGAACTACAGCTAGAGATGCCTGTTGAAATATCTTAGGAAAGGTAATAGTTCTAGCTAATATTTTGTTTAAAATATTATCAATAGTAGCGAGAATATCTTATGAGAGCCTATGATTTTTTGAAATTATAATAATATTAATATTTAATTAATAATAAATTAATATTTAAGCGGGTTGAATGACTCGAATTGCTCATTGCTCACATTTACTCGTATAATATTTCAGCATCTGTTAACTGGGGAATTCAGAGATATAGGATATGGCTATGGATATGGCACAAATGCTTCACAATTTAAACATTTGCAATTGAAAGACTCTGGAGACCGTAAGACAAATAAAAGTGGGGGTGTGGGAAATAATAAAAAACAGAAACACAATAAAACAATGCAAACGAAAACATTTCGAATTTCGAAAGAATTATTTAAATATTGAGTTGAGCTTGGTTCTGTTCTTGCCACCCCACCACACCATTGATAAATATTTACATTTATCTATATTTAATTTTTGCGTATTTCGTATTTCTGTGGCTTTTGTGCAGGCAAACGTGTTTCGAAAACACCGTCCGACCGACCGTCGGATTGTGCAATGACCTGGATAAGCCCCGAGACTCCATGTACGAGTAAAACACACTATACAATCTGTATATACATATCCAGTGGATAAATGGTTATGATAGGAAATGGAACAACTGCCTCCAGCACCTGTTCAAAGCTGAATTATTGGTCCAACACGCTCATCAAATAGAACGGAATTCTGTTTAATCAAAGCAAACATAAATGGAAATTGAAACTGAAAATGAGGCTTTATTTCTGATGAAATTTAGCAAATAAATTAAACAAATACTTGGCAGAGTCAACCAAGTCGTTCAACTCTACATCAAGGTCGTGTTTCTCAAAACAGATGATATACGAATACAAATTATGGCTTTCGAATCTACGAAATCCACACAGGAAACAGAACAGAACCAATCCCCAAAACTATAAATCAAACAAAAACAAACAAAAAACTAAAGATACAAATTAAGCTATAAATAAACAAAAGTGTTTTATATACTACATATGTACATATATATATACATATATGTACGATAATGTTAATATGTACTTTGAAGCTGAAGAAATGCAACAAAGAAGAAGGCTAATAATTTATGGAAGAGGCGACGTCAAGTCTTTCAGATTTGTGGCAGAAATTCAGGCAAAAGCAAAACGAAAACAAAACAAAGCAAAAATAAACAAAAACTAGAATGTTAAAACAATAAAAAAAAGACAACAACAATCGGCTATAAATAAAAAGTGTTTAAGTAGAATTAACAAAGCAGAAACCGGTTCAAAGCAGATGCCTGGAATCAAAAAAAAAATAATAAAAACTAAACTGACTCCTTACTCGGACTCGACCAAGTTTACCCAGTTTTTTCTTCATTTTTTTTTTGTTCAGCCCACGATCTCAGGGTTTGTTTATACAATGATTTCATGCGGCTGGCTTGGCTTCACCTCTCTGCCACCTCCGTTCATTACTTGCTCCATATTTATTTGTCTTTCTGCGGCAGAGCTGAAAGGGAGACCCGAGGTGAGAGCGGCGCATGCAGTGCTGCCGTGTGTTTTCCGGCTACTATCTAATCGGTGGGACGGACACAGACATTTGTTGACTCAAATTGGTTAACATGCTGACGATCCAAGTGGTTGCCGAGCACGCTCCGAGCATAGCTGAATGATAAGGCACAAGAGCTTCTCCCCGTTCACCCACACCCACTCTCTCGCTGTCATTCGCTCTCTTCTCTAATTGATATAGCGACTGCCGCTTCTTGCCTTCAAATGAAATGAATTACTCAACAGTTCCAGGTCGTGAACCAGCCTATCCCCATCCTCTATCTGTGAATCCATTCCCAGACGCCCCACCACCCATTAATGGGGGTTATCAGTGTCCGGGGCGTAGGGGGCAAATGGGTGGCCGCTAATCGCTCGAAATGTTATCGCCTGGCCAGAGCTCGATTGCTGCTAAAGTTTCTCCTGCTACTGACCCGACGGATCCAGCGCGGCCCCCCGCCCTACCCACCATCCCACATTTTTCTGTAACAAGTGCTGTAACACAATCATAACTTTTCCTATATTTTTACACACACACACACGCAGTATATATTATCTCTCGCTCACTCACTCTTCCTAGTAAATTTCCATGTTTGCGCACTTAACCGATACGCCGGACATCATCCCTATAGTACCCACATACAAACATACATATGTATTTATTTGTATATGGTATATTTAATTATTTATGATCTCGATCGTGTGTAAGGCACAAATTGTTATTGAGAATCGATTGGGATCGATTGTGTAAACGGAAAGCATTCATATATTTGCCGGTGGGAAGCGGTTTTTTTAAATTTTGAAATCAAACGTTTTTATTTTCCCCAAACTACCCGATAAGAACTCGCTGCCTTAGGTTCCCTTTCTGTCATGCATCCTTACCCTAAACCGCACATTGCTGGTGGAATCCGAATTGGCCACCGATTTCTCTGATGGGGAATTGCGACCACCAAATGGGGCAACCACTCCACTTGAACTATACAACGCTGTGCTGGACTCCAGCGAATGTCCGGCACTGGGCGAGCCACCCACTGGGTGAGTTGTGACTGCGGCGGTGACGGAAGGAGGTGGCCCACCCTCGGCCAAACCGCTGTGCTTCTCATTACAGCTGGAGCAGACCTGGACCATGCCTGTAGGGGGCAGGACAGGATATAATTTGGTTAGATGCGAGAACAAAGGTTATAATTGAGTGCACTTACCCTGGGGACTGATGGGACTAGCATTCTTGTATACCTTCATGGTCTTGATGAACGGATAAAAGGGCTCCCGTTCGGCATTGGGGCAGCAGTAGACGAGCCGCAGCTGTGACGACGGCGTGTCCGTGCCGCAGGTATAGCACACAAAGGTGGTTCGCTCTGCCGCTGCTGGGGTCGGACGTTTACGCAGCATATAGGAACGCTCCGATTCCGGTTTGTGTGAGGCCTGAAAGAAGATACAAAAATCACGATCCCAGATTAGTCATTCGTTTGTAGGTCCGGACATTTACGGTTTCAATTAGCAGGCTTATATAAGAGCAATAATCTTGGGTGTGAAGCATACAAATATGATTCCATTTAAAATGAGTTAGCACCATGGCAACACCGATTTTTAGCAAACAACTGTTAGATCTCAGATCTTGGGGGAGCAGCAGTAACCAGCTAGAAGAAAATAAAAGATCGTCCTATTTACGGATCACACTTACGCCAAGAGAAATAGAAACGAAACCAAGCCTAATCTGGGCTTCTAACTTGACCTCCTCTTAACCCGTTTTCTGTGTAGCTTGAAGTTCATTCTCTCTAGAAGATGCCGACACATCAACGACTTTGATGAATTACATTTCGAGTTGATTGATGGATTGACACATGTGTATGTATGTATGTACATAGTACGAGTATGAATAAAACATTTGATGGTGCCATCTGGCTGTAAAGCAGCTGAAGCTACCAACTACTCCCTGCCATTACTCCCAAAAGCTTTAAATATAATTCTAGTATCCGTATCAATGTATAAACTTAAATATGTAGTTTCCCTTCAATAAATTCGCTTCCACCACAGATGGCAGATGCCACACTGCCAAACGAGCAGCATGGCTCGTCAACAACAATGACGGGATAGCATTTGTCATATTACGTATACGCCCAAGTGGCTTTTCGCAAATTATTTGAATATTTTCACGTACACACATATATATATTTTTATATTTTTATATTATTCTCTCAGCAAATCTTCACGTTCTTCATCTCTTTCATGGCAACCGACACAATTTATATGTCTATGCATAAACTGTATCTGTGTATCTTTGTATCTAGACAGCTCCAAAAGTAGGATTGAGGGATGAGACGGGCAGGCAGAGCATTTCATTTATTTTATTAGGCACCGAGCAACATTTAATTGTTTGTTTACTTTCCTCATTTCATTGTGTGTCAGATTTTTTGACATTGATAGGGGCGCGCGCATTTCGATTACACAATAGCATGGCGCGGCGGATTCCTTGTGGATACCAATTTGTATCTGTATTTCTGTCTGTCTGCGTTTCCATGTCTGGTTTCCATTTTGTTTGTTTGCTTTGTCATGCGGCGGCTTGGCTCCACACATTTTCGTATCGCATCGCATCAATCTGGACAATGCCATGTCATCTATATTTATTGATCCAATGCTTCCATGGCGTCTCTTGCTTCTGTTCTGGCCGCTCTCCTCACCAACTTCAGCTCGCATCGACAATCGCGCGTCCGCCCCCTTAAATGTCTGTCAGTTTTGCTTTATGGAAAAACAAGTTCGTCATACATTTTGGTTACCCAGTAATTGTGGAGTACATACTACAAGACCATGTTGCATACATGTATTCCAAAGACTAAAAAATATATCCCGTAAATAAAACATTATTGTCTACCAATCTAGTTAAATGTATCATAAATATTTTTTTATTTACTTTTAAAATTCCAACATACATATTTACGTAGTTCTCCCATTATGTTCATATTTTATTGAGCAAAACATTTTAATACTGAGTATACCAAAGTCGTCATGTTTTTGGTAAATTTTTTGTGCGCTTTTTATGTTCGCTTTTCATGTTCTTGCCCCTGCCACAAAACTTCTTTACCCACCCTGCAACCACTTCCACTTCTTCTTGTTCGCTGTTTGTTTGTGCTTTTCATGCCCGTTGATAAGCCGCAATGGCAAGGGGGGTCATGACCGTTTAATAACTTTTTATGAACAACTTTTTTCTCTCTCTCTCTCTTTTAGTTCTTTCATAACAACTTTTGGTTCGTTTCGTTTGTTTTTTTGTTAATTATAAAGCATAAAATAACCCCCTAGTAATGGACAGACGGGGAACAGGAGGGGCACGGGCAGCACTATTGCGGTTGGGGATTATTTCTGTGTTTTTTTTTTTTTGCTTTCAACTTTTAGCAACAACTATGTGCTTAAGTATAAATAAATAAGTAGCCAAACGTGGCATTTATTTCCACTAATTAATTTTTTTCTTTGTGGATAGAGGGGATTATCAAAAAAGTTCTCCAACATGAATCATGTTCAAGTTTTGTTACTTCGAGTGTTTTCTTTGGATTTAATTTGGGTCAATATTGATTGATTGGTTGAGTGAGTGAGTGATTGAGAAATAAGCTGTGCTTGATGCCTTGAAGAACGGTTTCCATAACAGGCGATTGGCATTGTTAGCTGTCTGTATTTGTGAATAGATTTACAAATTTTGGATATTTATTTAATTACTGAAAAGTATCTTCATGTGCTATGAGCTGCAAGCCTTTTCTAATTAAATACTATCATTCTATCAGTATTCTCAACTAATAGATAAACGTGGCACTTTTACAGCTTGATTCTGGACACAATTGTCACCTCAAATTACCTGTTCGCTTTGCTGATCCTTAAGGATCAGATATGTTTTTAATTTCCTGTATTCCCGCCAGCCATTCGTATCCTTTGGCTTGAAGCTGATGCCTGTGCTGGAGGTGGTGGTGTTACCACTGTTGTGATTATTGTTGTCGTTAATGCAGCAATTATTGTTATTGTGGGTGTGGCTGTGACCGCCCTCGCCCACCACAACGGTGAGATTTTGGGCCATTATTAAGAGAAAGGGGAGCTGGGAATTCACTATAAACACTCGAAACTCAATCACTTTGCCTTTGTATTTGTATTTGTAAATGGTTTGTATTTGTGTGAATCATTTTCTTTGCATAATTTCAATTGTTTAATTGTTTTCGATTGAGATTGAATGAATCACGTTTGATTAAACACTGAAGCTGCTGGTTGCTGGTTGCTGCTGCTGTTGGGTTGGGGTTGTTGGCAGATTAATTAGATTGGCTTTTTCTGTGTCTGTGTATCTGTGTATGTGTGTGTCTGAGAGTCTGTGGCCTCTTAATTACAACACGAAACAAATTAAATTTAATTGAAACTGATATAAACGTTCTCCTCCTGCTCCTGTTACTGCTCCTCTGCATCCGCTGCTCTCCCCTCTGTGTGCAGTTGGGCGTGGATAAAACGCGAACGCGACGACGGATGACGCTCATGATGATGATAATGATGATGATGCATCCGTATCCGTTCCGTATCCGTGGGGTGCTCTCTCACACCACTCCTTGCCACATGAAATTCCGCAAACACACGCGATCAGTGTGGATGCAGCAGATTAAGAGGTAACTAATTATGCATTACATGCAACATGCCAGCTATCAGCGTCAAAAGCGCCATCCCATTGCCGTTGGCCTAATGGAAGTGCGCGGCCCGGCGCGTTCATTAAACCCTCCCTCCTCAAGGAGACCTCCCCCAACCGCCTCACCTGTTGCTACCACCCCGTCCACAGTGGCAATTAAGCGGGGCACAAGCCACAAATGCCAAACACACGAAAAGGGAACGGGAATTACAAGTGCCGCGGGAGTGGCCTGGTCCGCCCCCTACCACACACCGCAGGCAATCATTTGATGAGATGGGTATAGAGGGGGGGATGAGGGCGAATCGTGCAAGAGATAAAGACAACAACAACAAATGGGGGAAACTTGTGTGCAATTATTGGATAACAAAAGTTTTGCGTTCGAGTGAAAGTAACGGCAATAACATGGGAGCCACTCATTAGAGGGAGGGATTCTGATTTGCATGCCATGGAAGGGATTCATTCATTTAATAATAATTAAACCTTTTAATTAAATGAACTGCGATTAGACAATGGCATATCGTGTCTGCTATAATTAGACAATTTTTATCGGTGCATATAAAATACTAACAAATGGTGTCTACTGTTTACCCATCTAGTGTCCTTCTGTTTAGATCCCTAATCGAAAAACCTGCATACACTCTCGTGCGTGTGTGTGTAGCTTTGGTTAATCAGATTCATTGATTCACTGGCAAGTAGTAGATCTTGAATGGTGACTGTGTTGTGGCCACAAGCTTAACCTTGTCCGCCCACCCAAGTGGGTCAATGTGGGGCGGCCACAGACAAGGACACTGTGAAACGAAGAGCCAAGAGGGCGTGCCAGTTATTGTTTGACCCACTTAAGCGTCAATGTGCGTGCTCCATTATAGAGGGGGGTAAACAGTACGTAGTGGTTGTGGTGTTGTTGTTTTCGCAGGCGATATAAATCATGATTCGCACGCAAAATAAATCACATGAAATAACCGATAACAAAATACACGGAACAGCAAAAAAATTCCTCCTTCTTTCAACGAGCAACCCACAGAAGTTGGAGAAGAAGTAGAAGTAGAGAAGGAAGTAAGAGACTGCAAATGAAACGGTTTATTTATAGAACGGTACACACACACACACAGACACAAACAAAAGCAAAGAAACGCGCAGAAAATGGCAAAAACGCGCGTGTTTAAAAACTCGCAAAATAAAAACGGTATTTGTTGCTGCTGCTGCTGCTGCTACACTGCCTGACTGCCTGTTTGAGGGCCTTTTTTTACACGGACAAGTCTTGTACATACACATGTACTTGTACTCCCCTCCCCCTCAATAGAGACACCTAGTGGCCCCCAGAGTCAAGTTTCCGTCAGGTTGGAGGCACAAGAGTTCAAAAATAACAACTGAAAAACTACAAAATAAAACTTGATCCCGCACTGACACTAGAGATGGGGCGAATTTATATTCATAACGGTTTTGTTGCTTTGTTTAACTGATTTAAGTGCTTCCAATTGGATTAATTGTGGCAATTGTTGTTTTATTATTATTTCCCGTATGGGAATCATTGAACTGCGCTAAAGCAATTTAATTAACACAGATACACATACACATACACACTGAACAAACACACACAGCATAGATAGAGAAACGAATTATGGCACTATAAATCACGCGACCATCTCTAGTATGACACCTTTTTGGCCTCCACTGGAGGTGCCCCTCTCCACTGCTTCCCGGCGATTAACTAACTGAAAAAAAAGGGCAAACTTCGAAGCGGCATCTCGTTAACTTGTTGTTGTTGTTTTTGCTGTTT